GTCTCGAACCCGCGGGCTCAGGCAATCCACTCACCTCAGCCTCACAAAGGCACGGGATTATAGGCTGAGCCACCGAGCCCAGCTATTTATTTTTATTTTTTTAAGTTGGAGTCTCACTCTGTCACCCAGACTGGAGTGTAGTGGCACACTCATGGCCACCACAGTCTTGACCTGCTGGGCTCAGGTGATCCTTCCACCTTATCCTTCCAAGTAGCTGGAACTAAAGCACACACCACCACGCCTGGCTAATTTTTAAATTTATTGTAGAGACGGGATCTTGCTGATTTGCCCAGGCTGGTCTTGAACCTCTGGGCTCAGGCAATCCTCTTGCCTCTGGGATTACAGGTGTGAGCCACCACATCTGGCTGTAAAATTTATTTTAAAAAGCGTTTCAGCTTGCTATTTTCCCACCAATGTATTAATCATTATGAGGGAAACAAGAATGTGATATACCTACCCTTGTTTTATGGCTTTGATAAATTGTTTTTATTGAGAATGACATAGGGGAACCAAAGCATTTTCAAAATTTGGGACCTGTGAAAGTTTTCATCCTGGAGGTGAGGGAAGGAAAGGTCGTTTACAGGGCGAGGAGTTTGAGTAAGGAAAAGGCTTGAGGTTCTCGGGACAAACAGAGCAGTTTCAGATCTCTCCCAGGTAGAAGTAAGACAGGGAATGGTGAGGGGCAAGACTGGGAGGGCCTTTGGGGGTATAGACTGGAGGCTCTGAGCAGGCATGTTGCAAGTCAGGTTTGTGTGGTTGTGAGACTAGCTGCAGTGTGGAGAGTGGATGGACAAGGGGCAGAACCAGAAGCAGCAGGACTGAGGCTGCCTGCGGGTCTTGAGAAACTTCTAGGACAGTGCTGTCCAACAGAACTTTCTGCACCTGTGGAAGTGTTCAGTGATGTGCTTTCTAACACAGGATGTACCAGCCATGGATGACTTTTGAACACCTTAAAGGTGACTGGTGTGACTGAGGAATCTCAATTTTAATCAGTTTAAATTTAAATAGCTCTATGTGGCTGTGGCTACTGTATTGGACAGTGCAGCTCTAGAAGGTAAGATCAACAGGAGTTGGTGACTAATTGGCCATTCTAAGAGATCAGCATGGACAGAGGTGGTGTTACAGGAGCAGGATAATGGGGAAGGTGATGAACTTCACTTTGCACATGTTGGTTTCAAGTGCAAGGGCGTCTGGAGGAAGTAGTGTGTCTAGCAGCAGGATAAACATATCCCTTACAGGCGAGCACTAGGCTAAAAGTAGAAATTTGGGAGGTATCGGCAACAAGACAATAGTTGAGATCATAAAAGTGTATAGCCTAGTAAAGCTGCCTTACTGCCTTTGGCCTCAGATTCCTACTGATTTAATGGTGGTAATACTATTTGCTCTGCCTACCTTCTGGGACTATTCTGAGAAACAGATGAGATCATGTGTGGGAAAAATGCTTTGTAAACTCTTTGGACATGAGGCAGATTTTACAATATCTTTAGGAGTTGAATGGAATGTGCCCCACATATTATTTTCCCAACATAAAAAATAAAAACAAAAACCTTCAAAATCTGGAAGTATTGCAGAGCAGATCATCTGTGGGGACTCCTGCGTCTAGACTCATGATATATCTAGATCCAGATAAACAAAAGCAATCTTGTCTGAAGTATGAATGTCAGAGACTCAGCAGACATCTTTGAGGACTCCTCTGAATGGGTTCCAGTGAGCATACCAGCATAAAGGCTGGGTTTCTGTGATTGCAAAGACCAAAGCCACTGCTGATCCCGAGACCAGCTTGAGGTGTGGGACAAGGAGGGGGAGCTGTCCTTGAGGTTCCTACATTAAGCTGGGACCCTCAAAGGGAGAGGAAGTGATTCCAAGTCAGTAGTGTTCCTCACAAAAGCAAATGCACATCATTTGGGGGGAAGAAACAATACCAATTTAAGTATTCAGGAATAATTTCAACTAGAAATAAACTAAAAATAAAAGATCTTCAAACACTCAAGAAAACTCACCACTAAAATGAATGTCATCAGAAAGACGGGAGAATGATTTCAGATTAAGCTCCCCAAGAATTTCATATGTTGGAGAACAGACCAAGTTGGGCAATAAAATGTAGACAACTATATAGAAATATAGAAAGAATAAATAATAGTGTAATAAATAACAGTAGATATGTGACAATTGAAAATGGCAGAGCAGACCAAACAACAATAGAACTGTTAGAAAAAAAACTTTTTTTTTTTTTGAGTCAGAGTCTCACTCTGTTGCCCAGGCTGGAGTGCAGTGGCACGCTTATGACCACCGTGGCCTCAACCTGCTGGACTCAGGCAATTCTTCCACCTCAGCCTTCCAAATAACTGGAACTACAGGTGTGCACTACCACGCCCGGCTTTGGAAAAATTTTTTAAAAATCATCAAAGTGATCTACTAGGATGTGGTGGCCCACACCTGTGGTCCTAGCTACTTAGAAGGCAGA